CCTCTGGGGGTTGACACCATTAAGTGCCGCGCCGGGTGACACCCGACCTCGCTACGCCACTGACAATCATTACAATCATTACGAACAATACAATCATTACAATCATTACCATCAATACAATCGGACTTACCAATCCTTGAGCCCTTCGGGACATTCTGGCCGTTGGTTATGGTCAAGATTCCCAGAGACAAAGCCAAAAATAGACAGACAAACTTCATGATTTTTCTGTGAATAGTAAAATAACACACAAACGTTAACACATAACACCGTATTCGATTCTCTCAATAAATCGAGTAGAGGGTGCTAGGTCACTGTTGATACGTAACAAGTACTCGATTTTTTGTGAAATCGAGTCGTTTGTGTTAGAGCAATGTAAAACCATTACAAAGAGTTCGATTATGTTTTGATATGCATTAGAGCAAGCACGATTATGATTGTAAATTGTTGGATGAGTGAATCAGGTCTTTTGATATGTTTTGATGTTTACATGTGTGTTAAGCATAAATGAAGTTAATAGCAGCTTCAAGCAATGATATCTAATTAGCGTAAAATATAAATTAACAGTAGAACGCACACAGTTATCAAAATCGATGCAATGAGTTTCTGCGTCCGTATGGTAAGGATATTATTAACCAGTATCGCTGCACTAAAAGAACCGATGACTTGAAACTTTACTACTAACCAAAAGACTAAACCTAAATTTGGCACTGAGCCGAACCATACATCAAATAACGGTATCGTCAGTATGTGAAATTTTTTTAAAAAATTAAAAAACTTTGTAGATCTATTTATATTATCCTAAATGATAAAAGCAAAAAAATGCTGTGGACTGGAATCCCCAGGGAAAAGGGAAAGTGGGCGGGCCAAAGAAAACATTGAAAAGAATGGTAGAGGAAGAGGCTAAGACAGCTGGTTTCACATGGGCACAGATAAAGGGAGCAGCCCAAAACCGAGTCCGCTGGAAATGTGTAACTGCAACCCTTTGCTCCCCATGAGGCCAGAAAAGAAAGATGATGATGAATTGATAAAAGCAAATCAGATGTTTTAGAAAATCGTTTTTCTTCCTGATACAGAATGTAACACTACCCTGGAATAGTCTTTAAAAAGAAATCTAAATTTAGAACTGTCCACTTTTAAAAGTATAAAGGCCACAATGTGTAGTCTTACATTGAAGCAAAGCTTCAACGTAATTTATGTCAGGTACCAGACAAAGCTGTGTGGGCTCAAGAACATCATTTGAACTGGATACTAATTATTGACAGCGTTTTGATACGCGTGGCGTCTATTACAGGTGATAATTGATATTTTTTTTATATTAGCTCAGGTAACTTGATGCATTGGGAAAAAATAAGTTTTACATTAAGTTCTAACAATTCATTGTGTAGATAAAGTAGAGTTCATAACTTTCTTGACAGTAGCCCATGACAGTAGCCCATGACAGTAGCCCATGACAGTAGCCCATGACAGTAGCCCATGACAGTAGCCCATGACAGTAGCCCATGACAGTAGCCCATGACAGTAGCCCATGACAGTAGCCCATGACAGTAGCCCATGACAGTAGCCCATGACAGTAGCCCATGACAGTAGCCCATGACAGTAGCCCATGACAGTAGCCCATGACAGTAGCCCATGACAGTAGCCCATGACAGTAGCCCATGACAGTAGCCCATGACAGTAGCCCATGACAGTAGCCCATGACAGTAGCCCATGACAGTAGCCCATGACAGTAGCCCATGACAGTAGCCCATGACAGTAGCCCATGACAGTAGCCCATGACAGTAGCCCATGACAGTAGCCCATGACAGTAGCCCATAACAGTAGCCCATGACAGTAGCCCATGACAGTAGCCCATGACAGTAGCCCATGACAGTAGCCCATGACAGTAGCCCATGACAGTAGCCCATGACAGTAGCCCATGACAGTAGCCCATGACAGTAGCCCATGACAGTAGCCCATGACAGTAGCCCATGACAGTAGCCCATGACAGTAGCCCATGACAGTAGCCCATGACAGTAGCCCATGACAGTAGCCCATGACAGTAGCCCATGACAGTAGCCCATGACAGTAGCCCATGACAGTAGCCCATGACAGTAGCCCATGACAGTAGCCCATGACAGTAGCCCATGACAGTAGCCCATGACAGTAGCCCATGACAGTAGCCCATGACAGTAGCCCATGACAGTAGCCCATGACAGTAGCCCATGACAGTAGCCCATGACAGTAGCCCATGACAGTAGCCCATGACAGTAGCCCATGACAGTAGCCCATGACAGTAGCCCATGACAGTAGCCCATGACAGTAGCCCATGACAGTAGCCCATGACAGTAGCCCATGACAGTAGCCCATGACAGTAGCCCATGACAGTAGCCCATGACAGTAGCCCATGACAGTAGCCCATGACAGTAGCCCATGACAGTAGCCCATGACAGTAGCCCATGACAGTGGCCCATGAAGTGACGGTCTGGTCAGCACTCAGTACAACCACCATTACTTTCTTCAACTCGAGACAAGTACCCATTAGAGATGGCTGGACTCAGTGACGTCATGTAGACACAACTTCGGACCAAGATCCGAACACGAGACTTCAATGTATGCTTTGAAGCTCACTGCCATCCAACCATGCCATATACACATATGTTTCTTCTTTTTTTTTCCCATTCGTACCTAAGACACATTGGGCATATGCCCAGCCGCCTTTATTTTTAGCGTGGGTTGGGTACCCATCAGAGCTGGATGGACTCAGGTTCGTTCTACTAACTTGAGCCCTGATTCGAACTCAAGACGTTCGGGTTAGGCCACGCCGTCCCCCTCTCCCCACCCCACAAAAAAACATTTAAATTGTATCAAATTCTAAATTCGCAACACACAAATTGTTATAATGTACCTTTTACAGGCGTTTAAATCCATAATAATATATGTTCAATTAGCATCAAAATCTAAATTTTAATCATACAGAATACAACAGCTTACCTTTTAAAATCTGCTTCAATCAATGTAAAAGGGTGTAGATAGGTTACGTTATAATGTTAAACTGTAATTTCTAATCACATAAATATGTTGTCACTTACCTTGTACTTACAGCTGTAAACTGGTAAGTTATCGCCGAGTAATGTAGTTGGGTGTACAGTGTGCAGTGATTGGCTCACCGGGGTGGTTGAATAGGCGTGGTCTGATGACGTCACACCTTCTCACAGATGTTGGGGATATTTACTGCTAGATCAGTGATTCTCAAACGTTGTTTTCAACTCACCTGTACCCGTTGTGTTAGAGCTGCTATGAGATATCGTCTATGCGCTTGCTACTCCATTGCTTGTTGTTACAATGCTTTTTTTTTTATGGCGGTTACTTTTTTTTTTAAATGTGAAAAAAAGACCTCCGTGCCTACTGTTGTTACCGTTAGGGTATAAATGAGTAAACACAATTATATTACACTCTCCCGATGAAATTAAAAAACAAACTGAATAGTTTTAATAAAGAAATATTCCGCCATAAATATTATACTGATGAGCAAAAATATTAAATTAGGATTTTCTGGCGCACTTTATTACTGGATCTTGATATCTGCCGAGCAGTGTTTCTTTCAGACTTTATTTCTCCTTGGGGGCACTTGATATTTTCGGGGGTGGGGGCGGACACTGGTAAAAGAATATATTTTCTATATAAATTCAATTTCGTTCTGGGGGTGGGGGGGGGGGGGGGCGGTAGACTTTCTTCGGGTATGGGGGCGGGGCTCCGCACCAACCATCCCCCGTGCTGGAATATTTGAATTGTCTTTGACCACGGCAGTAGGCTACTTCTATATTCTGCACAGGCAAAATTCTTTCTCAAATCATGTGCGTTGGGTGTGTGTCTTGACCTCCATATATGTTGAAAGTGGGTGATGCTTTATAATTAATTACATGAATGGTGCGTGGTAGTCGGCACCAGAACTGATTAGACATGACGCCTGATTCCAATGCCTGGTACTCATTAAGGCTGAGTAGTCTTAGGGGCATATGTCATGCCTGGTACTCATTAGGGCTGAACAGTCTTACGGACGCCTAACTGTCATGCCTGGTACTCATCTTCTTCTTCTTCTTCGTGCTTAATTTTAGTGTTGGAAGGGACCCCCCTCCAACACAATTAAGGATACGTGTCAACTAGTTATGCGCCATTGAGGCCATTGACTCCGATTTCAGCCAGCTTTTCTTTTTTGATTTGCTTCCATAGCCTTTGTCCAACCAAGAACAAACTACAAGGCAGCAGTTGTTTGATTTTGGGGCTGTCTCTCCTAGAAGAGTGGCTGTCCCCAGCTAACGAGCCTCATCTGCCCGGGGGTTTGAACTCGAGACTTTTCGGTTTAGCATCCATGAGCTTTACAAACTCGACCACGCCGACCCACCTGGTACTCATTAAGGCTGAGACGTTTTAGGGACACCTAACTTTCCTGCCTGGTACTCAACAGAGCTGATTGGACTCAGGGTCGTTTATAAAAAATATATTTTAATAAGTTTATAATAAAAATAAGATATTGTTTTCAACCCTGCTCTTCCAGCATAATTATATGGCATGATAACAGTCCAATGTATTTTAAGAAAGTGGGTCAGTTTTTTAACTCCAAAAAGAGTTTTAGCCCTGCACTGTTGTGTCGTATCAGAGGCGTAGCGAGGGGGGGGGGGATGCGGGGGCGATTGGACATATGTCCCCGGGCGCCGACCTTAGGGGGGGGGCGCCAAAATGGGTTGGAAGGGGTGGGTGCAAATCAAAAGTTCGAGGGGGTTGCAGAGGCGTAGCGAGAAGGGGGGGGGGGGCGGGGGGGACATATGTCCCCGGGCGCCAAATTGAAAGTTTGAGGCGAGGGGGGTGCAAATGAAAAGTTCGAGGGGGGTGCAAATCGAAAGTTTGTCCCCGGGCGCAGGGAAGGATCGCTACGCCTCTGTGTCGTATCGTATACTCATACCGTAATACATTCAACTTCAAATGCTAACACAACCTATCGCACTCACATAAAATCATACACATTTTGATTTACGTGTTGTTTATTTATAAGTTCAACACTTGTGTATACACATAAAAAAGGTAATCTTCCGTGTGGTTAACATCCAGTAACTGAAACGAAAGTTCAAGATTTTAGAAAGTGGTAGCTCAATGTGGAATTAATAAACTTACAATAACAAACGAGTAGCGTCACAAGGCGGGGAGATGGGGAGGGGAGGGGGGGGGGGTCGATCCGTAAGCGGTGATACAATTTTATGGGTGATTCGATTTGAGTGATGACACCATTTAAGGGGTGACACCATTTAAAGGGTGACATCATTTAAGGGTGACAAACTTTTAAAAGGTGACACAATTTAAGTGGTCACACCATTTATGGGATGACACCATTTAAGGGGTGACACCATTTAAGCTTTGACACCATCTAAGGGATGGTTTTTTTTTAAAGGATGAGGTTATTTAAAGGGCGACACCTTTGGAAAAATAGTAAAATGCACTGTTAAAACTATGTGTTGCCCAGCTATAGGAAACAGGGGTGATATAAATAACAAGATACAAAATTGTAGGAGCGCGTAGGGGCGACCCTTTGTGACCTCAAATATGTGCACTCGTCACAGTGACGCCACTGTCCCTAATCTATTTGATTTTCGAAACTTTAGTTCATTGTCTGTTTAATTTTGTTCGATATTTTGGTTCTTTGTATATTAATTCTCATGTAACATTTGATATTTTAGTTCATGGTATATTAATTTCATGTAACGTTCGAGATTTTGGATCTTATTTTATTAATGTAATGTAACTTTCGAGAGTTTGGTTCATTGTATATAAACTGTTAAGTAACTTTCGAAAATGTGTCTATTACTTGTCATGTAACTTGAGATTTTAGTTAATGGTATATTAATTTCATGTAACTTTCGAGATTTTGTTTTTTTTTTGTCTATTACTTGTCATATAAAATTCGAAATTTTTGCGATTTATTTTAAAACATTTTTAGATTTGGTATCATTTTAGCAATCCTTGTTAACAAAAGGGTTGACCTAATCGATTAAAATGGCGCTGGTTTGTACAGTAGACCATGACACGAGCAGAACGTACCTCCGTTGGGATAGCATTGGATGTACTCGTCTTGAAAACAGGAACAATCCTCACAGTCGTTTTTAGCGAGGGCCTTCACAAACTGGCGATCTTTGTAGGTCTTTCCTTCGTACGTGCATGAGTTGTATGCTGAGGAATACATACATGGTGAAAACATACAGACGGGGTAGGTTGGTGGTGAGATCATTTGACCGGGAGCCGGTCGTTTTCCAGAATGGACACTTGCCCGAATAGGACAAATGCCCGAAAGGACACTTGCCCGAATAAGACAAATGACCGAATAAACGTTTGCCCGAATGCGACAAATCCACAAAAATTGTAGACCCCCATGTGACGATTGATTTTTTCCTGATAGAACTACTATTTTATTTGATAGTCAAATTATTGAGTAAGCTAAAAGAAAAAAATGATTTAGGCCTATAGATGTAGGTTGTATTGGTGTTAGGATCAGGTAAATTCCCTCATACATCATTCAAATACAAAACTACTAGCTTGTATGATATGAAAAAAAGTAATATGACGTGTTAATTTAGATGTATAAAAATTATGCAGAGCAGGAATTGAAATGGTATGATTTGTATGATTTGAACTCGAGACTTTCAGGTTAGCAGTCTAGCGCTCTATCGTTCGGCCACGGCACCCCTAACACAACGGTAGCTGACTACCCAATTTGTCCAGTCATTTGAAAATTTCTATTACAGAATTAATTGAGTTCTAAGCCTGAAACATTGATCTGGCATGCTAACAGTCCTGAACTCAACCCTACCCCTCTACACCAAAAATGAGTTATCAACCTCTAATAACAATTCATTGTTCAAGTCGGTCATAGATCAAAGCAGATATATAGGTCTACTTTATAAAACATATACGAAGTATGATTTTAGTTGCAACTGTATTCAGGTTGAAAATGTATTTTTTTTATAAAACTCAACCTCATTTAACTATTTCAATCACTACAATTACAATCATTGCGAAGACAATGATTACAATCACTACAGTCACTACAATCATAATCGCTATTCTCGATCGCTACAATCACAATCATTACACTCACAAAAATTACAATGGCTACAATCACTACAATTACAACCAACATATTCACCTCAATTATGATCAACACATTCACTACTACTACCATGATCACTACAATCGATTCAATAATTACAAACACACTTACCAATCCTTGCATCTTTAACCGTAACTACAACAACAACCACTTTAATGACCACAATCTTAGTAAATACAATCATAACCACGCTCACTACAATCACTACAAGCACACTTACCAATCCTTGCACCTTTAACCTTATTCTGGCCGTTGGTTAAGGTACAGATTCCCAGCAACAGAATCAAAACTAGACAGACAGTCTTCATGGTTTATCTGTATACAACAAAATGTTACATAAAAGTTAACACTTAGCAAGATATTCGATTATTTTGTGAAATCGATTAGAGTGTGTTTTTGATCAATATTGATACGTAACAAGCTATTCGATTATTTTATGAAACCGAGAAGTTAGTAAAATTAAAATTTATATAACAACTTATACGATTATTTTATGAAATCGATTATTAGATAACTGTATGTGTGTTAGTCTATGTTCTATTTCGTGTGAGTTTATACGCGTGGTAAACGTAGGCCTACACGTATTGCATCATATAGTCATTAGCTAAAGCAATTATCGTCAAAAGATAATTAAACAATATAACTCATCCAGTTAACCTGTTCGATACGTATAATGTATTCAGTAGAGTGGTTTCAAAGTACCAATTTGCAGGTATCGCTACGCTAAATTTACCGATACCTAATGCTCTTTAATTAAATTAAAGTTAATTAAGATAACGATCTTGGCAAGGGCCTTAATCATACATTTAACCCCGGAGTCTTCTAATTTTAAAATTTATAAATCTTAAACTACCTTATATATCTTAAACGAAACATGAATAATTCGGCAATTTTTTATTGTATTCATTGATCTACCTGAAATAGATCTATAATTTTAATCACCTTTAAACAAGTCTTTGAATCGAAATCGAAATATAGATCCGTGACTAAAGCTAATTTAAACCTCACAAAAAGACCTCACTGTGTAGCTCGAAGCAATTTGTTAAACTCGACTTATGCCAGGTACTTGTCAAAGCTGAGTTGGCTCAAGTGCATTCGAAAATTGGAATCTTAGCTTCAAATTTCACTAACATGTGTTGCATGACCTAAGTTCTTATAATCATGTTTTACAACAACTGTAATAATTGTAAGATTATGAGTATTTTATATCAAATTTTAAGATTTCTATTAACACTAAATGCTATCGAATACCTTCTACTTCCTGCTGTGGACACAACAAGTGATGGTTGAATGATTTGCGGATGTTTCGCCGTATGCCGCGGTCGGCTCGCGTGACGGTTTTTATACGCGTCGGATGATGACGTCACGCCAGTTCACAGATGGTGGGGCGATTTCACAGTAGATGGTTTATCCTCCGCGTGACGAATTAAAATACAATTAACGTTTTCTAAAAGGGGTAGGGGAGATGGGAGAGGAGGGGAATGGACGATTTAGTAAAAGCTATATGGGGGGTGGGAGGCTCAAGTAATTGTATGTGTACAGTTATGAGATTTCGTCTGTCAAACTAAAATTTAACATTTTTTTTAAAATCAAATTGGCCACGACATTATCGCTCATATATCCGTACATATTGTCATATGTATGTCATATATATGTATATATGTATATATAATATATATATATATATATAAATAATATGAAGATTCTTATATATGTGTGTAAGTGTGTGTGTGTGTTTGTGTGTATGTCTGTGTATGTATGACTGTGTGTGTGTTAATTTTTTTTTTTTAAATCCACTAAGTTCTGTTAGACTTTAAAGTTATTAGACATATTTTAGTATACACAAACGAGGAGAGCTGAAACTCAAAGTAATCTTATGCTACTAAGAAAAATGTAATTTAGAAACAAACAGTTCTAGATGTGTTGCAGTCTTTTGTGTACTGTGTAGAATACAGAAAAGACAAACGCGACGCATGAGTGAATACAAGTGTAACACGTTGTCCAGGGCAGTCACGTGACGGAGGACATGTGGTCTAGGTCGTGTAGGGGAGGTGATGTATGTCGTGTAGGGGAGTTAATGTATGTCGTGTAGGTGAGGCAATGTATGTCGTGTAGAGGAGGCAATATATGTCGTGTAGGGGAGGAAATGTATGTCGTGTAGGGAAGGTGATGTATGTCGTGCAGGGGAGGCAATGTATGTCGTGCAGGGGAGGCAATGTATGTCGTGTAGGGGAGGAAATGTATGTCGTGTAGGGGAGGAAATGTATGTCGTGTAGGGAAGGCAATGTATGTCGTGTAGAGGAGGTGATGTATGTCGTGTAGGGGAGGTGATGTATGTCGTGCAGGGGAGGCAATGTATGTCGTGTAGGGGAGGAAATGTATGTCGTGTAGGGGAGGAAATGTATGTAGTGTAGGGAAGGCAATGTATGTCGTGTAGAGGAGGTGATGTATGTCGTGTAGGGGAGGTGATGTATGTCGTGTAGGGGAGGTGATGTATGACGTGTAGGGGAGGTGATGTATGTCGTGTAGGGGAGGAAATGTATGTCGTGTATGGAAGGCAATGTATGCCGTGTAGAGGAGGCAATATATGTCGTGTAGGGGAGGAAATGTATGTCGTGTAGGGCAGGCAATGTATGTCGTGTAGGGGAGGTGATGTATGTCGTGTAGGGGAGGTGATGTATGTCGTGCAGGGGAGGCAATGTATGTCGTGTAAGGGAGGAAATGTATGTCTTGTAGGGGAGGAAATGTATGTCGTGTAGGGAAGGCAATGTATGTCGTGTAGAGGAGGCAATATATGTCGTGTAGGGGAGGAAATGTATGTCGTGTAGGGGAGGCAATGTATGTCGTGTAGGGGAGATGATTTGGTCGTCTAAAGGAGGTTATGTGGATCTTGCAGCAGAGTTGACTTGTGTTATGTATTAGTGGTTACTTAAGGGAGGGGGAGATAAAAATAGTTGTGTTTGTGAAATGACACAGGGATGAATTTTAGAAATACGTCAGTAAAGTGTTTACAAAGGCAGTGACTTGGTGAGGGAGAACTTGTGTCCTTGCAGATGTATAAGGGAGGTAACTTGGTAATGTAAGGGAGTTAACATGGTCATGTAGGGGAGGTAACATGGTTATGTAGGGGAGGTAACATGGTCATGTAGGGGAGTTAACATGGTCATGTAGTGGAGTTAACCTGGTAATGTAAGAGAGGTACCCTGGTCATGTAACGGACGTAACATGGTTATGTAGGGGTGTTAACATGGTAATGTAAGAGAGGTAGCCTGGCCATATAAGGGAAGTAACTTGGTCATATAAGGGAGGTATGGTGGTCATGTAGGGGAGTTACATGGTCATGTAGGGGAGGTAACATGATCATGTAGGGGAGGTAACATAGTCATGTAGGGGAGGTAACTTGGTAATGTAAGGGAGTTAACATGGTCATGTAGGGGAGGTAACATGGTCATGTAGGGGAGGTAACATGGTTATGTAGGGGAGGTAGCTTGGTCATATAAGGGAAGTAACTTGGTCATATAAGGGAGGTATGGTGGTCATGTAGGGGAGGTAACATGGTCATGTAGGGGAGGTAACATGATCATGTAGGGGAGGTAACATGATCATGTAGGGGAGGTAACATGGTCATGTAGGGGAGGTAACATGATCATGTAGGGGAGGTAGCTTGGTCATGTAGGAGAAGCTTTTTATATCATGTTGATGGATTCACGTTTATAGTTTGTCCACATAAAAGCAATCCGCAAGGCCGCAGCTATGTAATTTTTTTATTCTCTCTCCAAAATAAAAAGTTTGTTTGCCAAATGTTATAGGATAGATATTTAAAAAACCCGCTAAAAGATTACTTTTGCCAAAATCTAATCAATAAGTTGGTACTAACGTGTGACGCCATCTGGTAGGTCCAATTAGCATTGTTACACGGTCCGTCTATTGACACTACGGCTATCGACTGTTTAATCTGTCTGCTCGGTTTACTGACCCGTGGAAATGTGTTGATGTTTTGGTCAGGTGATCGGTGCTTTTAGGTTTGTTTAAAATAGAAATACAATTAGGATTAAAATCAGGGTCTCGGCTTTAAAAAAAAAGACAAAAAAAAAAACAAAAACAAAAAAAAAATTTAAAAATTTAAAAAAAAAATAGTTTGAAACAAGATTAGAATTTATCTTCTGGCTAAGCTTCAGGAATGTATAGAAGCACAATTAGGATTAAAGGTTTAGGATTAGTTATGGTCTTGCTGTTAAAAGAAATGTTATTTCAGGCATGTCTCCGGGAGGGCACTGTTCCCCATTCTAACTCCCCTGAGCAAAGCCATTGCTCATACCTGAAAAAGTAGTATATATACATATATATATATATATATATATATATATATATATATATATATATATATATATATATATATATATATAAAATTGATATAGAGAATTTATAATTTATACCAGTGTGCGCCCCACGTCGCATGAAATTTCAAGTGCCCCCACTCTGAAAGAAATTCTCCAAGAATCCATCTATAATAACGAGAAAAATGGCCCGTTGAGGAAGGATACACCGAGCGCTAGGTTGATAGTGCTGTCTCTTTTCTCTAAAGTAAAACCAACCCACCCCTCCCCCACACACCACACACCACCCCCACCCCCCCACCCACCCCCAAAACACTCCACCCCCCACCCCCAACCCCCCACCCCTCCCCACCCCCACCCCCACCCCCACCCCACCCACCAAATAACATGTCTACCGTCCCATTCAACGAAATATAATTATATACTTTTTCCAGTGTCCGCCCCCTCCCAGAAAATTCTACACCCGCCCCCGAAAATTTCAAGTACCCCCACCCCTCTCCGGGGAGGAAAAAGTCTAAACTAAACCCCCCACTCACCCCCCCCCCCCACACACACCACCCCCCCCCCCCCCACCCCCCCCCCCCCACCCCAAAAAAAAAACATGTCTACCGTCCCATTCAACGAAATATAATTATATACTTTTTCCAGTGTCCGCCCCCTCCCCGAAAATTCTACACCCGCCCCCGAAAATTTCAAGTACCCCCACCCCTCTCCGGGGAGGAAAAAGTCTAAATTAAAACCACCCCCCACTCACCCCCCCCCCCCCCCCACACACACACACACCACCCCCCACCCCCCAACCACCCCCCTCTTAAAAACTGACACATTAATACTAATAGTTTCGCTGTCTGTCTATCTATCTATCTGACAAGAACGCTCTAGAGAAAACACAAAGAAAATAAAAACATGCATAGTATTTCGAAAAACGAAGTATGACGTCGACACATTTAGCGCACAGAGTAGAAATAATCTCAAACCCAGAGAGTGCTCAAAGTTATAT